TGACGTCGATTTCATGAGACGTATGGTGGAATCACTTGGGAAAACTAACAGAGAACAAGCGGTGAGTCCACTATGACTTTAGTGTAGCAATGAGAGGGCGGCATTTATTGAGATCCAGCTGGTCCTTAACAAAATTAAAAGGATAACAAGGGGGTCAAACTGAGGCCGAGAGGAGACATTTAGCTCAACTAGACAATACTCCATTTCCTTCTATCCCTTTTCGGTATGCGCCATGCACTTTGCTTCCATGTATCCAGAATCGTGGTTTCATTTTTAATGCGATTTGATCTGTACAGTTATATGTTAGGACCAGCCGATGTGTTATATCTTCCTGTGTTATGGTGGTATCTTCCTACCCAGCAAGTCTGGTAGTAACATACCGACCCCAAAAGAATGTAAGTTTGGTTGAAGAGCTGGACAGCGTATGCTCCAAGGTTTGATCTCCCACTGCGCAAGTGTGGGAAGTGGCGCCACTTATCCATCCGTTTCCGATACTATCTCACAAAAGGGATTCCATCAAACGCATAGAATAATAGAGGATTTGCATAGGGATCGGTGGATTGAATCACGTTTCTCTGGAAAAAGTGAGTTATTACAATATAAAGTTCATATAACTTCAATAGAACTAAGATCTGCGTTAATTGAGTGGCTTGAGATTCGATCCGTAGATTTGCATACTTCTGCGGTTCCTTCAGCCGTAACGAATCTTTCCATAGTACCAGTTGACCGATTCAACCAGACTGATCGATCGTGTTGTGCTTTTGGATGCAAGGATGGTATGAAAGAATAGGGTCGCATTTCTGGAAAACACGGGACTGGAGTGAAAATCGGGGAAATTTTCGCGATATCCAGAGAAATTCTGCTCTTTTCGCTGTTTCAGCTACCGTATATGGTGGTCCTTACGATCATTCCCTCGCGGCGCATTTCCAATTTGTAGACCTGGAAAAGGATTGGGTTCAACCAGGTTTTGACATTTCGGACACCGACGAATCTGAATGAAGAAACGCTGTCGGAGACGGTAAGGGCAGGGGGTTGTGGAACTAGTAATTATGAAATCGGAAAGATCAAGATCACTAACACGGTTGTCCAATAAGTAGCTCTTAGTCAACAGTGGCAGTCCAACAGCTATGCTATATTGGTTATTGCTGTGACCGTAGAATGGAAGAGTTGTTCCAGTCCATCTCAAACATTTCAAATGCCTTGAATGCCTCTATGCTTTCCATACCATTCTGAAGATTTTGCGAACTACTGTATCGGAACCGATTTCAGAAGAGCTTTGTTCTCAACGAATTCTGAGGGAGTTGATCTCTACGTGGCCTCGCGTGCTTGCGGTGCCATGCTGATTACAGCGCCGACGTCAACATTCGGCTGGTGGTTAGCCTTCTTCACACCTAACCAGAACTCGGTATTCTACAGCAATGACAAGCGAAGGATGGCTGACAAAGTGCCGCAGAAGTCGCTGTTTTTGTGAGTTTTGTCAAACCCTCAAGACGTTCTGAAAGCAACGTCTACTAACAAAGATTCCAAAATCTCAAAAGTTCTTGAAAGCGCAACCCCGACCAGAAGTATGTGAACGATTCTCTTCGGTCTGTAGGATAGCCTACCTAGAGGACAATCATAGAGGTGACATATCCGAGAAATCACCCTTGTAGAGCGCTGAGGCCTCACAAAGTGAGGTACAGCAGCAACATTGTTTCTTTTATCAGGCTGTTGTCTGGCAACCTTTCACCTGTTGCGTTCTCTCTCCTCTACTCTCAGCACTTAGTGTTTCGATGCTTTACCAGGGAGATCTTTCAGGACGTTCCATGCCTTGTCACAACGGTATTTTGCATGATATGGTCATGGTCAAGGTCATGCGCCCCTATATCATGCAATA